TTTTGAACGTCACGAATGGACCAACACAAATAATAAAAAAAAAGCAATTTTTTTTCCAAGTTGCATTAACAAATGCTACATTTTTTCCTTCTTCTATAAATCTACCATTTCAAAAATGCAAGTTTTTCGTACGACAGCAACAATATGGAACCGGTCCCTAACAAAAGTACTACTTTTCCTTTTTATTCTTTATACTTTACTTTTTTATCTCTCTACTGCAAGCTTAGGTTATCACATAGAGGGGAAAAAATTAAGAAATGGCAAAACCAGAACAGCAGCACACAGCCTTGCCCAAATCAGTGTGCTGAAATAGGCTGGTTCACACTTGTTTTTACTGTACCTATATTGCTCTAGTTGTAAACCCAAAATAACTCAGTACAAGTGCTCAGAGCATTAGTTAGCTACTAGAATGTCAGGACTCTAGGCACAGACGTACTCTTTTCAGACAAGATAAGATTAGGCTTCTTTAGGATTCAATTGTATTATTTTGGTATGATTTACAATGATTTTTAAAAATACAGAATTGTGACTGGAGGGACTACAGTACTGTGCAAAAACCATGGGCTCCTAAGCACATTGTTTAAAACCATTTATCATGAAACTAAGTCTGTTTTTAACAGTATTTGTTTATTTGCATTTATTCTAATGATATATGATGATATATCATTAGAATAAATGCAAATAAACAAATACTGTACAATGCAACGCAAGCTTCTTATTTTGAAAAAAGCAGCTGATATTGATGAGTAGCTGATCTCTTGGATGCAGATTTATTAAATCCCATAACCAATATACTAGATTTAACAAAGTATTAATTAGCCAAAGCAGGTATTGGATGATAACCACAAATAATACTGGGCTGCCTCAAGGAGAGGTCTGAAAATGGTGAAACAAACACACTGACATGCATTAAAACACTACTTATTGTATTAAATGCTACTTGTATTTAGTCTACTACTTTTTTAAAGCTAATAAGTGCTGACTGCACAGATAAATAGCTTTTAAAATTTCTTTTCTAAATAAAATTTCATGTTTTTTGAATTTTTGCACACAGTTTCCAAAACTATATTTACACAGTAGTGGAATATGGACAAAAACAACAAACCAAGATTGTGACATTTGAAAGAACCCAGAAAATTGTATACTGGCTACCAAAAAAGTGAGCGCACAATTAATTGATTACTACTACAATAAACTACAAAACTGATGCAGTGGAACCACCACCTTCAGATGAACTCATCACAACGTACCCATGCATTTTAGACTCCTAAAAGACGAGTGATTCAAAGCAGAGGTTTCTCACTTAAAGCAACACCGTAACCAAACCGTTTCCAGTATGAGGTCTTCTTGTTTACACTGCTTCTTCGGCTGTGCGCTTTACAGTCACAGCTCCATCACCGTAGAAATATTCTACCTTCACTAAACTAATGCCACTGTTGATATATCAATTCAAAAAGCCCTGGTACTTCAGCGCAGGCTATGACTGCTCTCGTCCAGATTCAGTGATGAGAATAAGGAGAAGGCAGAGACTGAAGAAAACAAAAAAAAAAGAAAAAAAAAATGACGTCACTATCCCTCATTACTTTAGATACACATACACACACACACACACACACACACACACACACACACACACACATATATGAAGCAGAAAGCAGTGATGAAACAGAAGAATGAGTATGATAAGGGTGGGAGACAATGCGAAAGCACTTCCTGCTCTTTCTCCTCCACAACTGTTAATTTGCTCCCATTTCCTGAGCTCTGATTGATTCTGGAGGGTCACTTTCAAGCTTATCGGCCTCGTATTCGGGTCCTGTTAAAGCCTGGGATGGGCCTTATCGCTCACCTGTGCTGTTAAACACGCGCACGGAACACCGGCATTGTTCATTCCTCAGAACATTATCAGAATAAACAGTTCGTTTGAATTTTTCAATTAATCTCATCTGGGTGGCATTTTGTGTGGTGGGCTGATGTTATTTGGATAATTAGCAGCGAGCCTTAGAGCTGGGGGAACACAGAGGGTGTAATTGAATCCTGACATATGTGAGCTGTTTGGTTTTCATTTTGAGGAGAGCGACGGTGTTATCACCCCTCTGTTTGCCGTACGGCCCTTTTGTGCTCCAGGAGGCCCAAGACTAAACCAACAGAACAGTTCCCATGGGCCAGGAGAGACACAGCCCAAGGTGCATTCTTGGTAAGAAAATTGACTCAAAAGTGTCAGCATTGTGAAATTGAACTAACATTCTGAATTTTATATAACTCGTCACGTTTAACTGTTTCAGATCATCCAATTATTTTTAATATAAGATAAAAGACAACAAGAGTAAACACAAAAAGCAACTTTTAAATAACCATTTCATTAATTGGAGGTAAGATTTCAAGACCTTTATCATCCATGTGAAAAACGTATTACTCCCTAAACCTTATAACTGGTTGTCCTGCACTGAGTCTTTTACATCGCTGTGGAGGAATTCTGGTCCACTCTTCTTAGCAGAATTAATTTAATTCGGCTACACTGGAGGGTTTTCGAGCATAAGCTGCTTCATCCTACTTTGACTCGGCCACTCCAAAACCTTCATTTTGTTCTTTTGAGCCATTCAGAGGTAGACTTGGTTGTGTGCTGCGGATCACTGTCCTGCTGCCTAACCCGACTGTATTTAAGCTATAGGTCACGAACGGACAGGCGGACATTCTCCTTCAGGATTTACTGATTGAGAGCAGAATTCAGGCTCCAAATAAGACAAGTTTTCCTATTTGAAGCATGAGGCAAAGCAGGCCCAGACCATCACACTACCACCACGTTTGACTGCTGGTATGATGTTCTTACAGAGGAATGCGGTGTTAGCTTTACAGCAGATGTAACGGGATGCATACCTTCCAAAAAGTTCCACCTTTGACTAATCAGTCCAGAGAATATTATCCCAAAAGTCTTGGTGGTCATCTAGATGTTTTTTGCCAAATGCGAGACAAACCTTTATGTTTATTTTGGTCAGCAGTGGTTTGTGCCTTGCAGCTCTCCCTTGGATGCCATTTTGCCATGTGTCTCTTATTATGGAAGTATACATTAATCTTAACTGAGGCAAATGAGGCCTGCAGTTCTTTACGCGATCATCTAGGTCGTTTTATAACCTCTTGGATGAGTCATTGATGAGCTCTTGGCAAAATTTTGGTAGGCTGGCCACTCCTGGGAAGATTGACCACTGTTGCAAGTTTTCTCTATTGTAGATAACGGCTCTCACTGTAGTTTGCTGGAGTCCCAGAGCTTTATCCATGGCTTTGTAACCCTTTCCAGACTGGTAATGTCAATGACTTTGCTGCATCTGTGTTTGAATCTGCTAGAACGTGGCATCATGCGCTGCTTTTTGAGACCTTCTAGTCGCTTCACATTGCCAGACTGTTCTATTTAAGTGATGTTTAGATTCAACAGGTCTGGCAGTGATCATGCCTGGGTGTGGCCAGTGAAATCGAACCCAATAGTCAACCAACTATTGGTTAACTGGTTAATTTAATAGCTAAGGGGGGACTTCCTTTTTCACATAGGACCAGGTAGGGCCAAACAGCTTTTTTTCTTCAATAAATGAAATTACTATTTAAAAGCAGCATTTTTTGTTTACTTGGGTTATCTTTGTCTAATATTAACATTAGTTTGATGATCAGAGACATATGGAAGGGGGCAAATACTTCTTCAACAGCACTATACACATCACACAGTGATACACACCAAAAAAGGCAGAAATTCGAATTACACTGTGAAATAAATTTTTCAACTCGCTCTCCTGCACTGCTCAGCGCAAACACATTCAAACAGTTTGAGCAGCAGCAGATAAGCTCTAAACACACTGGCTGTGTGGAACCATCTCACATTTCCAGGGGGACGTCAGACAAGTGATTTATAACCTCTGTTCACATCAAGTATCAAGAGGGGACACAACACCCAAGCACTTCTCCATCACAGGTTTGCTACCACGTAAGCACAGTATCAGGTTAGATACGCAGAACATAGCAAAACATCAGAAAAAGAAAGGAAAGAACCCATTAGACCAACAACGGCTGCTTTTGAATTGAAAAACTTCAATGACAGTGAAAAAGTATAACTAAAAAAATTTTGAAAATTCAACGCCGTCGCTGATTTCATGGTACTACAGCTAAATACTGTAATAATTCTAGTATGTTTATTTTATGTAAACTTTTTTATTAATTGTTGATTCTTTTTGGCTTCCAGTTTTCGGGTCAGTGTGTCCTGGATGTCGGTTTCGTTTCTCAGCCACAGACGTTCTAATAAAAATAGTCAAAATAATTAAATAAAAATGGCATAACGGGCTGACACTCAATAAGCTACTTGTTACTACACGGTTAACACAGTTACTATACACTGGTGGTTGTCTATAGGCTCTCTATAACCGGTCTAACTCGGTTTGTTTTATGATAAATGCAGTTGTTCAGTCTTCTAGAGTTGCCAGTGACACCCATGATATATTCA